CCTCTCGGGGTCCGTCCATTTCCTCAACACACCCTGCTAGCCTGCCCCCTGTTTACCCTCTGCTCCTCCCCCAGCTGGTTCCGGCATGAAGCCAGGCCGGCTGGTGCTGTTTGTATTTTCACTTCCGGAATGTTCGATACCTGAAAACACAGGGTTGGCGCATCAGGGTGAACAATGATTCGAGTGCCAGTTGGCCGCGCCAGTGATTTAATTTGAAGCACATTTTTTTATGAGGGTGTTGAAGACGGAATAAAATAAATGTTTCCAAGCTGGGCTTAATGTATTATTATACTGTGTTGAAATTAATAACTGTCGCTTGCCTATTCAATAACTCGGATTCCGATTTTTGCCAATTTTATTTGAAACATTTTTCCTTGCTAGAATTAAGCAAGTAAATAGGCCTGATTTTTTAAGTCTCGTCAAAAATACCATCCTTTACCTAGCAAATAATTTTTTAATAGTTTAATGACTTTTTGTTATGTTTGTAATCCTTTACTAATACTTAGTTAATGTCGAAACCTCAAGCGGACATTTCATAATGCCGAAAATTTGAACATTTCTGAATTTCTTGGCCATGTCTAAATTTTGGTATAATATTTTGATGTTTGCCTGGAGAGGGTTTGTGGTTATATTGTTCCTCGACATTCTAAACTTCAAAATTATGAAATTTAGACATCTGTATCAGCTTGGTAGATAAGTCCTGTCACAATTTTTTGAAATCGTCGGCGTAGGCCACTGAAACATCCAATTTGGGCTTGACATGATTTGATAGGTCTTCGGACGCTCTAAACCCTTACATGACCCTCCCAGGACCCCGAAGGCGCTGGCCTGAGATACAGTCAAAAGTTTCGCCTAAAATCTAGTCATTAGCTGAGCGAGTTATCTCAGATAGAATACAGGCATGCGATACTTAACGCCATCGATAGCTTCGAGAGTAGATATCGATGCTGAGATCAAAACGGAGTCATCGGATGACGAGACAAGACCCTTGAATTTAGCTCATTTTGAACTTTCTCGATTTCCACATTTTGCACATTTGGGCCAAACTATGCCGCCTTGTTTTTGCAATACCTGAGAAGATTTGTAAAAACATGGGATTGAGAAAAGTTCAAGAAATAGCCAAATTTCATGGGCCAAATCTCGGCCATCTGATGTCCGTTTGATGATTCAACATCTATCGATATCTACTCCTCGAGAGTTTATCGATTGGTGTTAAAGGCATCGTGAATGCAAATTGCAGATAACTCGCTAAAACACTTTGCGCACTATTCAAAAATTCAAGGGTCAGGGATCTCGGCGACCCACAATTTGTGGACCTCTATACGACTGCACCCACGGTAGAGCACCCAAGACCTATCAAATCATGTATCGCAAGTGAAAATTGGACGTTTGTGAAAGTATAGAGCGATTTCAAAATTTGTGACAGGACATATCTACCAACCTGATAATTTACATTTGAAATCGCGATGTGCAGTAATTTTGACATTTTGGAATAATAGTGAATACTATCAAATATCGACATTTTGGGTCAAACAGGAAACATTCTGGGAACGAGGGCGTATTCCACGTCAGCGATCCAATTTTTGAGCTATTTTTCTCTATAAAACATGTTCTTCGTAGTTTTGAGGAAAATTAAAATAACTGTGTATCGCCATTACTGCATTACAAGTATCGCTTTTGGATATAACTTTGCCATACTATAGTCTTTATTGTTTTCTATAATCTCTTTAAAGTTCCACTTACCTCCGGAATGGAGCTAAACTTCTTCCAGAACTCCTGCACCCGAGTTGAAATCGTGCGTTTCCGGACGACGGGCGGCGCCAGGGGTACTGTAGATTAAAAGTAGCTTCAGGAAATCGTAAAAATTTAACGAGTGTATCATTTAATCCAAATGTTTCACTTTCTGAAGAGTTTTTGAGGCTAGATCAATAGGCAATTATCGAAAGGTGCGCTCCAATTTTTTTGCGACGACGAATTTCTTCGACTGGGGTTGATTTGATATGCTCCAAAATCTTAGATGTTTGAAACACTGAATGTACTGGAGATTTTTTGATTAGTTGATCTCTCAACCTCTCTCGCGACCTCTTTCGCTGCCTCTCTTTCGCTGCCTCTCTCTCTATCTCTCACCTCTAACAATTTCATCGCCATCCCGGGAAAATTCGGCCATCTCTATTTCGTCTTGGAAAGAGACGCGAGGAGATCTAAACTAGTTTTTTTTGAGAACTTTTGAGCGAGAGAGCTACAGTGAGAGAGAGCTAGAGAGAGCGACAGACATAAATAGAGCGATAGAGAGATGGAGAGATAGAGGAGATGGAGCGATAGAGAGATGGAGCGGGGGGGGGAGAGAGAGGGAGAGCCAGAGAAAGAGCGGGATAGAGAGAGAGAGAGCGAGAGAGATAGAGCGAGAGAGAGAGAGCGAGATACCTGCTTCCCGACGGCGCATCCTCAAAATCGAAAGCCGCATCGCCAGTTGAACCCCTCTGAGACCTCGGGCTCAACGTGTCGGTGGTTTGGGTAACGCCAAGAAATCTAAAATTTGACCACAAATAAAAAGTATTTTTCATCGATATTACGCGTTCAGAAATTCTCGAAGTGGTTTAATTGATCCCCTCGCCTATTTCCCTCAAAATCTCGCAATCTCAAGTTTCAGCGTGTTCAAATTTCTACAAAATGAAATTTCGTCAAATGGTTTTCGACAATCTTATGGCAAATCGCTCGCTCTCTTGTTTTTTTCATTTTGGAATGCTCAAGGTTAAAAACATCTTCATGTCCATGCTTTGTTTAAACACACATTTTGATTTTCTATTTCAGAACATTCGGTCACGGCTTTGACAAAAAATTTTGGAAACATCTATGTTCCATCAATTCCAGCTCTTTACAAAATTTTATAGCATATTAATCCTAAGACGAGAAACGGGGACTAACTTTTGGTTCATGGTGCTCGTCAGCGCGTCCTCCTCGTGCGTTTTTCGGCGGCTATTCGGTGGATGCGTGTAGTACTGCGAGATTGTTCTGGAAATGAAAGCATAGATGATCTTTGTAATGCAATGGATTAAACACAAGTCATAATGATAAAATGGTCACTTTTCCTATAGAATTTTGTCGATTTTTAGCGTTACATACAGCAGTTTTTATAGCTGACCCTTCTGATCAATTTGTCTTTACACGTAGTTGCAACATTTTTTCTTGATCTTGAGCATTGTATTCTTTTCTTTTTCATTCTAGTTTTGAATTCATTCAATCACTAATTGTAGGCCTAATTTTGCTATTGATTTTCGTCAACTGTTTGATAGAAATGTGAGGCGTCACTGCACTTCATCGGACCTTGCTAGTTCCTTTATTTTTTGCAACATGATTTTTTTAGTGTATTAAGGTTTATTCAGGATTTATACCCGCTCGGACACGCAACGCGTACCCCACCTTTTCCATTGCGTAATGAATTACAACCGCCTTACTACGACGGCCGGGGTGCGCGTCGCGCGTCGCGGGTTCGACTGTATCCATAGAATCTGGATATGGCTTTAAGCTGGGATTTTTTGCTAGACAGTATAATTAAAATCCACCGACGATTAAGTATAAGCCTAAGCCTAAGCCTCCAAGCCTAACCCTAAGCCTAAGCCCTAAGCTCAAGCCTAAGCCTAACCTAAGCCTAAGCCTAAGCTAACCGAGCCTAAGCCCCTAAGCCTAAGCCTAAGCCTAAGCCTAACCTAAGCCTAAGCCCCTAAGCCTAAGGCCTAAGCCTAACCTAAGCCTAAGCCTAAGCCTAACCTAAGCCTAAGCCCCTAAGCCTAAGCCTAAGCCCTAAACTATATATTTCTAATAATATAAATATTTCGGTCTGCGCTCGGTCTAATATGCTTTATGTTAATATTGTCGTTAATTTTAGAGCATGGTTTTGCGCTGGATTTTCGTTTCAGACGCCTAAGATTGCAAAGCGCTTGCCCAGCCTTAAGCTTCAGTTTCGTGAAACACATGTTAAGAGATGGCCAATAGCCAGTAGGCTATGGACAGGCGGGGCGTGCGCGTTGCGTGTCGCGCACCGCGGCAAATTCAATAAAAAATCCCTAGACAACTCATTTTGAAATGAGGCATAAAAATTTCCATACATTCCGCGACGTTCCCGTTTAAGGCTTTTTCAAAACGTTTGAGCTGCGTGAGCGTTGCGTGTCGCGGTCTCGATAGAACCCATAAGATTCGATAGTCGAAAAAATTCAGCGACATGCCTTGCACCTCCCTTTAAAAGGCAAAACGCAAAAAATAAATTAAGGCGGCAATATGAAACACCTGGTAGGGTGGTATTACAGATCGCCAGAGTACGCCGGTCCATTTCTTTTTTTGCAACATTTTCTTTTAAGCGACCTTCTGGGCCGCTATTACTTTTTCTGCTCTTGTAGTTTAATAAATTGACTAGGAGGAGTAGCATTAATACATTGGTTTAATTAATCATTTAATTATCAAATTTAATTGCTTGAAATGAAACACGAAATTTGAAATTAAACCCCCACGATAGCACAGGCATGCTGACGATTCGCTGGATGGCAGGGACGGCCTTCTTTTTCACGTGCCGCTGGATTACCTGAAAAAAATGAGATGCATAAGAAAATAACATGTTTCGTATGTATTTATACTAATCAAAGCTTTCTTCCAACGATAATAGAGATTCCTATCGATGGTAAAAGTATGTTGCAAGCAACTGGGAGAATCCGGCCAGATTCGACAATTTAAATAAATTGCGGTCGATAGGAAAATTAGGATTAGAATTAGAAAATTAAATAGGAAAATTTAATCCATAATTTACTAAATCTTTTTGATAAATCCAAAACTGAGAGTGACACCCGAATTCCTCTTCACGACATTTTTTGGTGGGCGAATCGCCTTGAAACACTTGAGCGTAGATAGGAAAGATGAAATGAGAGCTCCAGAAAGATGTTTTTGGCATTTGGGTACGACCGTGAAATGAAATTTGTTTAATCGGCCCAGTTAAATTTCTGGTTAACTTAAAACTAAAGAAAGTAACTTAAAGTTAAAGTTGTTAATGACTCTAAAAGGCGTTTCGCGGAGGCAGCAAATTTTATCGGAAATCTCTGACCAATAAAAATCCTCGATCATCCGAAGAACCACCCGTAAAAAATCGTCACCCAATGGTCACTTTTCTAGCTTCTTCAATCCGCCCAAATTTGAAACATAGCGATTTTTCGGTGCGTAAAATCTATGGAAACGCTTGGAATTTGCCCTTTAAACGCCTTTAAAATCGCTTAAATACCTTAAATCAGGATGTACCTTTGTGAAGAACACGTAGAGAAACGGGTTCATGAACGAGTTGATCGGGAAGAAGAAGACGAGGAAGATCTTCGCGTCCGAGATCGAGATCAGCGGGAACCCGAGGGCGGCTGTGAAGCCTGAAAAATTTGCATAATACCAAGCAAAATTTTTTAAAATTAACATCTCCGCAACAGTTTCCTTTGTAGGAACAATTTTTCTACAGCCTGACTTAAAATTTTATGTTTTAACTATTTTTTTTTTTCTTTTTTTTTAAATTAAAATAAATTAATAAAAGCAAATAAGAAATCATGGACCTGCGACAATGGTCCTACGCTGTGGATTCAAAAGATAATCAATGAATGGAACACAGCGGCCCAGCTCCTAATAAAACGTCCGGTAGCTTTGGGAAAGGATGGAAGACCGCAACGCGTGTGTTAGACGCGTCGCGCAATTGCTAAAGCAGGCCTGCGTAGCTAAAAAACCGGTTGCTATTCCGCGCACCCGCAAGCAACGCGCGAAAAACACGCACAGTACGCCCTTTCCCTTGAACCATCTGGACCGAACCCATGGGCGGTTGTGGGAAACCAAGTATAGCTTTACGAGGTGTAATCGCCATTAAATTTGAGTTTGTTTGGAATTTTAACGAAGTTTCATTCGGAAGAAGCAAATTAAAATAATTTTTCACAGCCGTACAAAGAAATTGTTTCTCCTCAATTATGGTAGTAATGACTCCTGATGGGGCAAAACCAGAAAGAAAAACGTCGGCACCCGCGGTAAAAGTGAATGTTTTATTTTTACTCAAAAACAAAAACCGATGAAGTACGGCAATGACACCTTTGGGACGAATTCCAGCCAAACAAGAATTAATAAAATTGAAATCAAAGATAGATTTAATTTACATAAAATTTAATTTTGAAGTATTTATGGTGAAAAACCAGCGGGTTCGAATAATTATAAATTTCAAGATAAAAATTAATGTTTGGTCTCAATTATCGGTGTAGCGGCTCGTTTTTACGTTAATCAGCCACGTTCCGTCTTTACAATCCTTCTAAACTTTGCAATGGGCGACGCGTGCATACGCCAATTGACAACGAAATTGTAACTTTTTAGCTAACTTAGGTATTTTGAATTAACTGCGCCCCGTGAGGGAAATTAACGCTCAAAAAAATGATACAAAAACAACAGTCCCCAACAAATATTCGTCAAATTCAAAAACCTTTGAAAAATCGATGTTTAGTCTAAAGTTGTGAACCTACGGCTCGACTAGCAAACTAGTCGACGGCCCCTTGTAACCCATGCAACCGAGGCACAATACAATTGACACCATTATTTGTATTTTAAATTAGCAAAATTCAGTTCTTTGTGTAGATAACTAGCAGAGATTTTCAGGAAAAATGAAAATTAACCCACCAAAGAACAGGGTGGGAAACCAGCAAATCATGTCGGTCCCGATGAGCAGCGCCATTTTCTTGATCACCGCCCGATCTTCTGGACGGCTTGGAGCGTCTGGGTCCTTAAAAAAAATTAAAGAAATAAACCTAACATTACTGAAATCGGGTGGAATATCCTTCCGGAAAAATTTGGATTTTTATATGTTTCAAAATTTTGTTGCCTTGCTTGGTTCGAAACTTTCTAATAGAAGTCTGGTAAGATGCTCAACCAATTCTAGCAGAGATTGTTTGAGGAAATGGACGGACCCCGAGAGGAGGGCAGGCTAACAGGGATCTCCAAATACCTCGATTTTGAGCATCCAGAAAATGAACATTAGCAGACGACTATCCCCCGAGAAGGGATCATGTTGAAGAGCAGAGGCCGAACAGGATGTAGATCTAGAAAAATTTTGGGGTTTGATTTGATTCAAATTATAGTTTTTGGATTCAAGGTTAGCGAAAATTTGATCGAGGGACATATTATTCTTTAAAAGAATGACTGCTAGCCTGCTGAAACGCTAAAAAATATCTTTACCGTGAAAAATTTTATATGTTTCAAAACCGGCTGTCTATCCAGATTTAATTAAGGTTTTAATTCCTTTAGAAGAGTCGATGTTCTACAAAAAAATCATTAAATGTTGTACGTTTTTATAAATCTAATAACTTTATGGATGAGCCGTTTTTTTAATGTATTCTCTTACCTTGTCCCAGAGCGTATCGACGCGTAGTGGCAGGCAAATGCTGGAGGTGGAGTAGCTGGAGATACCTTAAGAAGCCTCTTTAATTCTGAGCTTCTTGACTAATGAGGAATTTTATTGATTTAAGAAGTGCTCGAAAATAATAGGAGCTAAATTTTTATTAGTATTAGCTTGATTCAAAACATATTTTTTTTAAATTAATTTGGAAAAGAAATGAGTTTCAATTTATTACTTGGATATAGGCGAGTTCAGGCATAGAATACCTGCGCGGTTTCGACTGCTTTCAATTATTAGCAAAAAAAATGCCAAAAAAATTCCTGTTCAGAGACGTTGCGTCGCGTGTTGCGCCGCGTTCGCCGCACCAATGTCAAAATTTGCGTACCAAAAAGCGGAAGGGCTGCCATGACGGCTGCTAAAACATAGCCGATTGCAAGCATCAGAATTCCGGAAGCCCAGCCAAGTCGGCGACCGTAGATTGCCTTCCTAGAAAAAAATAGAATTTTCTAAAGAATCTCCGTTGAAATTTCAGCCTGTGCCATCAAAAAATTCAAAAAGTATGTTTTGGTGAATCGTCCTATTCAAAGCATGACCATTTCTTAGTGATAGCTTTCCATTGACGGCTTCTGATATTTTCACTGGCTCCATTTCCTCAAACAATCTCTGCTAGCCTGCCCTCCTCTCGGGGCCCGACCATTTCCTCAAACAATCTCTGCTAGCCTGCCCTCCTCTCGGGGCCCGACCATTTCCTCAAACAATCTCTGCTAGCCTGCCCTCCTCTCGGGGTCCGTCCATTTCCTCAAACAGTCTCTGCTAGCCTGCCCTCCTCTCGGGGTCCGTCCATTTCCTCCTCAATCTCTGCTAGCCTGCCCTCCTCTCGGGGTCCGTCCATTTCCTCAAACAATCCTCTGCTAACCTGCCCTCCTCTCGGGGCCCGACCATTTCCTCAAACAATCTCTGCTAGCCTGCCCCACCTGGTATTATAGGCCATTTCGAAAGCGATGAAGAACATCGAAGTAATCGAGAGTTGTGAAGCAAAGACGGCGAAAAATCCAGCCGTTGCGCAACCCCATCTAAAAAAGTTAATAAGTAGGCCGCCAATACCTTGCCCTTAAAGGGATGAGGACGGGGAGGGGAGGGGGGTTCAACAGATGCGGCGGCGAGAGAGGGCGCCCAGTGAGAGGCGCAGAGACATTTTCTTTCCCGCGCGTAATCGATTGACTTATGCCGCCCCTAACCCTTTTTTGAAATGGTTTTGAATTTCCGGGTCCTATCAACTCTTTATGACATTGGCACAGGTTTGCGCATATTTTTTGTAATTTTTTGGAAGATTGGTTTACGAGGATAGTTCTCAAATAAGTTATGATTTGCGATATGTTTTGCCGTCATAAAATCGGAGTATAGGTTTGGGCATAAAAATGTTGCGTTTTGTAGCCTCCGAAGTAGCGGTAAATTGGGGGTAAACCAGGGATGAAAAACCGCTTCGCGGCTTTTCAACCCTGGCCCCGTCTTCTCCAATGATATTCTTGACTTTGCATAATCTTCCCGGATTCGGATGACGAAAATGAAAAATGCTCTTGCAGTCCCTTTATATAGGCTACCGCGACTTCCGGTGCATGCTAATTTTTTCCTAACAAATTGGGGTGTCCGATTTTCCATGAATAACTTAATTTTAATGTCGAAAACATCATATTTTGTAAAATCTAATATGTGTGCAGTCATCTCCAGCCCATTACGCACCTAATGACGTATCGAACATACCCCTAAGTACTTCCCCTCTTGAGATACTACTGGAACACGGTGACGGAAGTTGCATGCAAATGCACACACACACACACAGAGGAACTATTTTTTTACCAGCGCCCAAAACCCGCTTCGCGGGCCTTGGGCGCTGGAATGCGGCCTTTGCATGAGAAATTTGACTTTCCGATAGCTTGGGTCCTTCGGACCCTTCCCTTCATCCGGCCACACCTGCGAGTGCAACTTGCAAGAATGAGGAAATTTGTATTTTTTGGAATTATGCAAAGTAGCCCTCCCTGGCGCCGGACACACACACACAAAGATACGCGACCAAATTATATAAGGTATTTTTTTATATATAGTAGGATTCGAATGCTCGTAAATGTCTTGATCAAGCATGGTAACACACAATTGAATTATAAGATGTTGTCAAACATTATTTTTTTTTGCGTCGTAAAGCTTCCAAATATTTCTATGCTTTCCCAGGCCGAGCGGATTATGGAGGGCCACGATTGGCGGATTGGGAAATTTTTTGAAACCTTTTTTTTTGATCCCGGAAGAAATTACATCTCATTTTTTTAGTTGTTTGGCCGTTATAAAACCGGTTTTTTTTCTGAAATAATTACCCGGTCTGCCACCCAACCGCGTAGCGATAATATTCATCGGCCGTCTGGTTGTCCTCGATGGCCAGCAGGGCTAGGTACACCCCTAAATTTAAATGTTCTATATGATTTAAAAAGTTTTACACTACATTTTTAGCACTTTAATGAGCTTTGTTATTCATATTGGCATAATTTGCAAAAATTACCTGAAAGTGCGAAATGATATAATGAAAAATTTTACAACCTTAATTTTCATGTTTCATATAATACTATCAGAACGCGCTAAAAACGCAAACTAATCTGCTCGAGAGCAAGAGAATATTTGAGATTTCCTGATATATTTCCCCTACCGTAGTTTACTTAAATAAATACGAAAGGGAAATAATTATAAAAGCACTTTTGAGGCGTAAAAATATCCATACAAACCTGTCACCATATCGGCCACGCTTAAATTAAGCATAAAAGGTAGTGGACGCGCATCCTACGCTCGTACGCCATCCACAATACTATCTGCAAACATATCGATTATTTTAGTCATTGAAAGATTTGCCGAAAATGGATTTTTTTCAAAATAAAAGCTTTAGAAATCATTATTATCATTATTTAAATTAAATTAAATTAAATTATGTCGATATTACAGTTTTACGTAAATCGGTTTTCCAAAACTCATTTTTGGAACGTATTATCTCAAGCATTTAGAAAATTTAACGATTGAAATTATAATTGCCGGCAAGGAAATTATTTGTTGAGAAAGCCTGGACCTAGAGTATATTATTATAAACTAAAATTCCGGCGGTAAAGAATAGCTTGAAACTCATGTTTTTTATCAAGGGCTTGGCAATTAGTAAATCTTTATGTTTCAATTTGAATTTACCTTACAACCATTCTAAATTCGCTACTTTCGATTTTCTCGCGAATGTTTCCAAGGTTTTGAAATGACCCAACAGCCTTTAGCAAATTAAAAATGAAAGCTCCAGCTTTGAAAATCAAATTCGAAATTTTGTGAAATTAGATGTTTCAAATCAAATTTGCCTTGCAAACATTTTAAATTGGCTAATCGATTCTGCGTGTGAGAGATTCTAAGAGATCGTTAAGTTTCAGTCATCTTGA